GTTGAGATTCGTAATAGAATAGTCCCTTAATTAATTTGGCTTTTCTTCTGTCCCATAGCAGAAGATGGCTCTTTTCCTCTGGCATGATACAGGGAGTTTGCATTTTCCTTTTAACAACATGCTTGAGTTTAAAGAAGGAGAGAGCCATTCTCCAACTCCAAAGTCAGCTTTAAATTTTATCTAGAGTGAAACAAAGTGTAAGATGGCTTGAATGTATAAGTCCAGAAGGACAGAAAGGAAAATTAAAACCATATATGGCTAACATAGCTATGAACCTGTGGGGTCGAGACTTGTTACAACAATGGAATACTCAGATTAATATCCCTCCAATCTCAGAAACAAATCATAAATTAGTACATGTTTCTGAGAGAAATATTAAAAGATATTATTCTAATGAGTGCTCACCAGCCATCCATGTCATACAAGAACAGGGCACAACAACTGATAATCTTCCAAAAACATTAACAGCTCTACCTTTAAAATGGTCAACAGACAAGCCTGTATGGGTTCAGCAATGGCAAATGCAGGCATTTGACTAATGAATGCGGATCAACAAGGGACAAGTAAGGTAAACCTTTGTCATTAGGAAACACCTTAGGGGACCTCTTCCAGGCCCTAATATCAAATTTGGTTTAATCATTCCCTGCCAGCATCAGAGAAACTCATCCACAGAGCAATTAAAAGACTTAATACCTAGTCAGGCCGTGGTAGCGCACACCTTTAATCCCAGCACTCGGGAGGCAGAGGCAGGCAGATCTCTGTGAGTTCAAGGCCAGACTTCACATTAGTAAAGGAACCACAATTTCTTCTGGGTCTATTCCTGCTAATTGATGAAGTCTCAATTTTCCTTTCAGAATAAATTCAGAAAACTTTTCTACATAGATCTTAATATTTTTACTCTGTTTGTGTGGTAAAAATATCCATTCTAAGATAGTATCTTTTCTCTGCATAAGAATTCCTGTAGGAGAATGAGTAGAAGTTAGAATGACTAGGATACAATCAAGCTCTGGATCCAAGTGATCCACATGTGCCTCCTTAGTTTCTTTTCTAACAGAGAAAATTCTTTCTCAGCCTCAGGTTGATAATTTCCTTGGACTATTTAAGTCCTTATCACCTTGTAAGGTTTGAAATAAATTACTTAGCTCTTGAGTAGTTAATCCAGTTGTGGGCCATAGCCAGTTTATATCTCCCAGCCATTTTTGAAAATCATTGAGTTTGTAATTAATCTCTCCTGATTTGTGTTTTCTGTGGCTGAAATTTCTGTAAACCTATCTTATATCCTAAATAATTAATAGAATTTCCTCTTTGTATTATTTTCAGGATCAATTTGTAATCCCCAATAAGGAAAAATTCTCTTTACTTCATCAAACATTTTTTCTAAAGCATCTGTGTCTGAATTAACCAGTAAGATATCATTCATATAATGGTAAATTATAGATTGAGGAAACTGTTTAAAAATTATTTCTAATGGCTGTTGTACAAAATATTGATGCAAGGTGGGGCTGTTTAACATTTCTTGTGGACATACTTTCCAATGGTACCTTTTAACAGGCTGGGAATTTTTAAAAGTAGGCACTGTACACCAAGTGATGCTGGTGCACACCTTTAATCCCAGCACTCGAGAGACAGAGCCAGGTGGATCTCTGTGAGTTTGAGGCCAGCCTGGTCTACAGAGCGAGATCCAGGACAGGCACCAAGACAACACAGAGAAACCCTGTCTCGAAACAAAAAAAAAAAAAAAAAGTAGGCACTGGAAAGGCAAATTTTTCTCTGTCCTCTTGTAAAGTTATAGTAAAAACCAGCCTTTTAAATCAATCACTGTAATAGACTATCCTTTAGGTAATAAAGAAGGCAAAGGGAATTCTGGGTTGTAAAGAACTCATTGGCTGAATCACCTTATTTATAGCTCTCAGATCTGTTACCATTCTCCACTTTCCAGATTTCTTTTCAGTAACAAATAGAGGAGAATTTCAAGGTCTGGTCAATTCTTCAATATGTTGAACATTAAGGTGCTCCTGTACCAGTTGTTCTAGTGCCTGTAATTTTTCTGAAGTCAAAGGCCATTGTCACCGGGCAGTGGTGGCACATGCCTTTAATCCCAGCACTCAGGAGGCAGAGCCAGGTGGATCTCTGTGAGTTTGAGGCCAGCCTGGTCTACTGAGGGAGATCCAGGACAGGCACCAAAACTACACAGAGAAACCTTGTCTTGAAAAAAACAAAACCTAAAAAAGGCCATTGTCATACCCACACAGGTTTGTCAGTTAACCATTTTAATGGTAGGACTGTTGGTACCTTTGAAGGACCAACAGCTATTGTGCCCTGCTTCTGTATAACCTGAATGTTCTGTGATTGTTCTTGATAATACCTTTTAATAATTTTCTCAGAAATATTCTTTATTTTATTGTTTGCTTCTGAGATTGGAGTAATGTTAATCTGTGTTTGCCATTGATGCAACAAATCACATCCCCATAAATTCATTGCTATATCAGTTGTATATGGCTGTAATTTTCCTATCTTGCCTTCTGGCCCTATGCCCTCACCCTATCTTGTACTTTGTTTTACCTGAGATCAAGTCTCAATCCCTAGAAGTTGAATATTTGCCTCTTGAAGAGGCCAATCTGTATTCCAAGATTTTGGTGAAATTAATGTTATATATCTGTGCCTATGTCCAATAAACCTACAATTTCAATACCATTTATTTGTATTTTTAGTCTCTGATCACTTATAGCAGTTTGCCAAAGTATTTCTTTTTTGGTCTTTCTTGAAGTTTTTGTTGTATCTACTGAAGCTGTTCTGTCCTTGATCACATCCAGAGCAGCATTGTGGTTTTTAACAACAGGTATTAAGTCTTTTTTTTTTTGGTTTTTCGAGACAGGGTTTCTCTGTGTAGCTTTGTGCCTCTCTGGAACTCACTTGGTAGCCCAGGCTGGCCTCGAACTCACAGAGATCCACCTGGCTCTGCCTCCCGAGTGCTGGGATTAAAGGCATGCACCACCACCACCCGGCAAATTTTAAATTTTAATAACTACACCTAAGAGATCCATGAAACAAAAATGCCTCTGATTTGCAAGCCCCTTGCACAAGGACAGACAGTTCCTGAAATGCTGGAGGCTATTGTTTATAGTAGGTAACAAGACACATGTTTTCACTCCCCTAAAGAAGTTTGTTTGTCCCTTCTGCACTGGATGTTCTTGATCACATGTGGGTGGGAGCTACGTAGGCAGGAAATATGTCAGGATGTACACTTGTCCCTGATGGGACCTGTTGGGAAATACTTAGGCCACTGTAAACCATGACTTGAGGCCATCTCTGGAAACCAAGAAATGGACATGGCTAGAGCCCATCCACCTGGCCAGTATTTAATTAATGCTTGCTTCAAATTTGGTTTTGAATTGTGGTAGTGGTCTTATTCTCAACCAGTTGGATTAACACTAATGCTGAAATTGCCTCGTTATGGGCAGAAAATGAATATTGGCAAAGAACTTGCAGTAATTTTTTTTTGGAGAGATTACCAACAAATACCCAAAAGCTAGAGACTTCAGTTTATAAAAAGAACTAATTGGATTGTCCCTCATATAATAAAAGGAACACCAGCCGGGCAGTGGTGGCGCACGGCTTTAATCCCGGCACTTGGGAGGCAGAGCCAGGTGGATCTCTGTGAGTTCGAGGCCAGCCTGGGCTAACAAGTGAGTCCCGGGAAAGGCGCAAAGCTACACAGAGAAACCCTGTCTCGAAAAACCAAAAAAAAAAAAAAAAAAAATTAAAAAAAAAATAAAAGGAACACCAATTTCTGGAGTTCCTACATTCTATACTGATGCAAAGAAATCAGGAGAGGCGGGGGCTGAAGATGGCTCAGAGGTCCTGAGTTCAATTCCCATCAACCACATGGTGGCTCACAACCATCTGTAATGAGATCTGGTGCCATCTTCTGGCCTTCAGGGATTCATGCAGGCAGAACACTGTATATATAATAAGTAAATAAATCTAAAAAAAAAAAAAAAGTGGGTCTTCACTATTCTTATGGTATTATTAGATTTTCCAGAATCTCTTAATATAGTCACTGACTCTCAATATGCAGAAAGAGTTGTTTTACATATTTAAACCTCTGAGCTTATTCAGAATTAACTTTATTATTTATTCAACTACAACAAGTAATCAGAAATATAAATCATCCATTGTATGTAGCACAAATCAGATCACATATAGGTCTACCAGGCCCTCAGGCACAAAGTAATGATGAAATTAGTCAGCTATTAATAGGAAATGTTCTAAAAGCCTAAGAGTTCCATAAAAAAACACAATGTTAATAGAAAAGGTTTGAAGAAAGATTTTTCTATCACTTGGAAACAAGCCAAGGAAATTATAAGGCAATGTCCTACTTGTTCTTTGGATAGCCAAACACCATTACCTGCAGGAAGTAACCCAAAGGGTATTCAAATAAATGAAATTTGGCAAATGGATGTGTTTCATTTTGCAGAGTTTGGGAAATTAAAGTACGTGTATCATATCATAGATACATATTCAGGATTTCAATGGGCAACTGCTTTAAATTCTGAAAAGACTGATTCTGTAATTACACATTTATTAGAAGTTATGGCCATTATGGGGATACATGTACAAATTAAGACTGCCAATGTTCCAGCATAAGTCTCTAGTAAAATGAAACAATATTTTGCACATTACAACATAAAGCATATTACAGATGTACCACACAATCTTATAGGACAGATAGTTCTAGAAAGTTCTAATCACATTTTGAAAGATATGTTTAATAAACAGAAAAGGGTAATAAAGACCCCAGAGATAGCTTACACAGTGCTTTATTAACTTTAAATTTTTAAAATGCTAACAAAAAAGGGACAACAGCTGGGGAGAGACACTGGGTAGTAGGAAAAACTGCTGAATTAAGTCAACCTGCATATTTTAAAGTCATGTTGACCTCAGAATGGAACCAGGATATGTGTTATGTTGGGGAATAGTTTTTGGTTTTGTTTCCACAGGAGAGGAAAAGCTATGGATACCATCAAGGAGTGACAAAGATTAGACGTCAACAGGAGAGACCTTTTGGTTATAAGACTAGCAAATGCCTCTCATTTGATCAGGTATGAAAAAAAAATTTTATTAAAAGATAACACTTTTTCTGTTGCCAAAGAACATTTTGCCTTAACAAGGATATAACCTGCCAAAAAAGGAACTCCCCAAAGTTAGAGTTGAGCCAGAGTTTTGTTTTTTTGTCTTTTCAGGAAGATAGAAGCATAGAACTAAGGAATATAAAGGCCACTGGACAAAGGAGACAGCTGAAGAAGGATGAATCATTAAGAGAAAATTTTCCAAGAAGAAGAGTAAGTTGGCCTAATGTCATAGCACACCTCTAATAGAGTAGAATTTCATAAATCTACCCAAATGCTTGTTTTTGCTGCTCTCTACAAACATAAAAGGCAAATTGTCTTATTGTGGTCCCAATTCAACTAAAATTCAAAGCTAGCTCTGGAGTTGGAGCATGGCTCTCTCCTTCTCTAAACCTACACATGCTTGTTAAAGGAAAATCCAAAATCTCTGTATTATGTCAGATGAGCCACCTGGTATGGAAGAGAAGAAAACCAAAATTAAGGGACTATTCTATTGCCAATAACCCCATAATCCTTTAGTTTTATTTTGACGCTTTAAAACTTTTCTTAAAATATAAATATTATCTCAAAATCTATAAGATTTTTTATATATACTATCTGCTGGAATATTAGTAGTCATACAGAGTATTAACTAATTTTGGAAATAAACTTCATCTCACTTCCTGTACTTGTTTTTGGGTTTGAGTCTGAAGCAGTAATTAAGAACTAAATTTGTGTACTCTGGATGTACTTAATAGATTGTGGTCCTCTAACCTTTTGAAGATCTGCTGTATATGGCATTTAAAATGTTTAAGTTTCTGCAATTAACTGTATTCATTCCTAACAGCAACCTTTCAGGTCTCCAAAAAGATGATGGGGCCCTGCAATGACAAATCCACCTGGACCGTGATAATGCCCTTAAGCTGACAAACACCACCCAGTTTTGAACTAAAAACTGCTCAGGGCAACTTCAAAGCAGCTAGCTGAGAGGGCCCAGCCTCACAGACTATGCCGTCTAGGATATCAAGCTCTGCACTTTCCTCATCACACAGAGACTGGACATCAAATGATACAGCTAGCTATCCCAGGACTTGACCATGATCCCAATTTTATCAGGATCCTCTAAAGATGCCATTGTCCCCAGACAACAGTAAGTTGTAGCTAGAGTTTTCCTGCCTGGCCCACAGTCAGGACAAATCTCTGTCACCCGCCAGTCCCACAGCCACTCAGACCCAACCAAGTAAACACAGAGACTTATATTGCTTACAAACTATATGGCCGCAGCAGGCTTCTTGCTAACTGTTCTTATATCTTAAATTAATCCATTTCTATAAATCTATACCTTGCCACGTGGCTTGTGGCTTACTGGCATCTTCACATGCTGCTTGTCATGGCGCGGCTGGCAGTGTCTCCCTCCGCCTTCCTGTTCTCTCAGTTCTCCTCTGTGTTAGTACCGCCTATACTTCCTGCCTGGCTACTGGCCAATGAGTGTTTTATTTATTGACCAATCAGAGCAACACATTTGACATACAGACCATGCCATAGCAGTAAGTAATTTTAAGAACACGACACCCACACTCCCAAGAGGTGGTTGATTTTTGGTCATTTGGTGGGTTATGGATGTTTGTCATTGTTTAGGGGGTTAGTTGCAAATTGCTATTGGTCATGGTCAGGGAGGAAACTAAACAAAGGTGGTTGGATTAAAGGTTTTCTTTCTTTCTTTTTCTTTCCTCTATCCTTTCTCTCCTATTTAGTGTTGAAAAAAATAGGGATAGGGATAAAAAGAACAAGGGAAAATAGGAATAATAGGATAAACGGGTAGATTATTGAACCTACTAAAAAGCAATTACTAGTTTCAAATATTTTACATTGTTATGGATAGTTGTGTATTTTGATACAAATTTAAGGTTATTTTTGTTATAACATACTGTGTAGATGTAACCAACGGTCTTATAAAATAAGAAACACAGAGCCAATTCAGAGAAGAAAGCCAAGAGGTCAGAGCTAAGAGCCTCACCCTTCCTGATTCAGGGATCCTCTCCAGCCAAGAGAGCTCTCCAAAAAGGGACCTACTTCCTGTGTGTGTATGTCTTTATAGTCTTTCTGTTCTGCCTTCTCATTGGTTGTAAACCCAAACATGTGACTGCCTCGTCACTGCCTGTATGTACCGCCCTCCAGGTCCTTAAAGGCGTGCGCCACCGCCGCCACGCACTTGCTATGGCTCCAATAGCTCTGACCCCCAGACAACTTTATTTATTAACATACAATTAAAATCACATTTCAGTACAAGTAAAATACCACCACAATACTGTATATTTATTTCTACTCTTATTTAAGGTATTGTACCTATGCAGCTCATTTAAAAATGTTATCGAAATTTCCTCAGGGGCCTAACCTGAGAAGGTTTCTCCCAGAGTCCTGGGGAAGATGCTGCTAATGGCAGGGGTAATCTGAGGAAATGAATCTAAGTACATCAAACTCTTTCATCTGTCCACTTTATTCCTCTGATATTTGTTTCTAAATACACAGCTTCCATTCTGCTGTCATGCTTAGCTCCTCTCTGCCCCTTTTCCTCCTGTCCTAGTCTAGTTCTAACTAAGCTCTCTTCGCCTCACCCTCACCTTCATCTTCATTTCTCTCTATCTTGACTCATTCCTGTAACACTAATCTTGGGGTCCAGATGTAACATGAATCTTAAAAGGTCTTATTCATAAATAAAAAAAGCCAGAGCCAGATATTGGGATTAACGCTGAAAGATCAGAGAAACAGAACAAGCCACAGCCAACCTCACCTTGCCAATTCCTCAGCTGATCCTGTTTCCATGAATCCTAGGACTAAAATCCTGAGTCCTCACCCCGAGGGTCTCAGTTGAACTGCTTAAGAAGCCTCTAGTTCCTGGTCCTCACACCTTATATACCTCTCTGCTTCCTGCCATCACTTCCTGGGATTAAAGGTGTGTGTCCTTCCTAAGCAAAGACATATGATCTCAAGTGCTGAGTTTAAAGGTGTGTGCCACCCCGCTTGGCTCTGTTTCCAGTGTGGCCTTGAACTCATAGAGATCCAGACTGATCTCTGCCTCTTGAGTGATAGGATTAAAGGCATGTATGCCACCACTGTCTAGCCTGTATGTCTAATCTAGTGGCTGGCTCTGTCCTCTGATCCCCAGATAAGTTTATTAGGGTATATAATATTATTGGGGTGCACAATATATCACCACACCTTCCTGTTCCTTTTCTGGAACCAGTCTACCCCTTGCAAGCAGTGATTCTCCTCTAATCCAATGAAAGACTTCCCAGGTCCCCACAAGAGCAGTAAGTCACCTTCATTTGCAACCCAAAAAGGGAGTGAATAGAGGAGGTAGGGTCAGATAAGGCCAGGAATAAGTCAGAAAGGCAATTTATATGCTCAAAATATATTCTTATATATAAGTTAGGTTAGGTGAAACATTACTAGTCTGTCATAAATGTGCACAACTACAATCTTACTTAGGTAAAAGAGTCTATAAGTCATAAGAATGTAACTACCTCTCTGTTTCTATGTCACCATAAACTGGCAGGGTGGGGTAACTGCTTGGAGCTATGACACCTGCCTCATAGCTACATTGCACCTGGTATGCAAAAAACCTTTTGTTCTGAGTCAAAAGCTCTGGAATGTCATTTGGGCTGTGAGAGAAAGGATGGTCTGAGCTTTATTTGCACAAGAAATAAAGCCATGCCTAGGAGACAGGTGGTGTCTCCATAAGGGTGTTTACCTTAATTCAGGAGACAGTGGTTGATCTGTTTGCCATTTTGGCCTAGAATGCTTGAGAATTATTTCAGATAAAATAAGCTGTTAAAAGTTCTTGGAGAAGTCATGAGCGCACATGAAATTCATAACAGAAGACAGCTAATATATTAAAAACCGAATAACATAAACTACTCCTTGAGATTTGGCTTAATCTTCTGGAAGGCCCTTAGCTTCTTCTAGGTATTAGCTTTGTCATAATCAGGTAAATTTCTACTTTATATTCCTGTTGAAGCCCATAGCATCTCCTGTTTTTTTTTTTATTTAGTTAAAAAAAAAAAGGAGAACTAAAATTGGTTAGTATATCAGAAAAAGGGAATTTATGTGCTCAGACTACATTTCTAGAAGTGGTTAGGCAAAGTGTGAGGAGTCTATAATGTTAGTATAAATCATGTGTAAAATAAAACTGCTTATATTTCTTTAGGGCTTTAACTGTCTCAGTAACTCTGTTGTGTCAGGGTGGGAATCTCTAGGCAGTTGTGTCACAGCTTGATGTACCTGGTGTGCAAAAAACCCTTTTGTTCTAAGTTAAATGTCAGAAGGGAAGTTCTAGAGATATTGCTAAGGTTGTAAAAGAAGGTTCCAGCATAATTCGCACAAGAAACAAAGCTATGTACCTATTATCTGCTTGACCTAGGCAGTGTCTCTGTATAAATATTTACCTTAATTCAGGACATCAGAGTTTAGTCTGAAAAACTTATTCTGTCATTTGACCTTGGATGCCTGGGAGGTATTTCAGATAAAATATACTGTAGAAGTTCTTGGAAGCACACATAGCACACAAGAAAATCATTGCAGGAACTGGCTAATATGTATACAAAAGCTAAATATCACCAAGACTCCTTAAGCTTTGGATTGACCTCTGGAAAAGTTTTTGACATTCTAAGTAGTAGCATTTGTCATAGTAGCTGAATTCCACTACATATTCCTGTGGCTTGCAGCAAAATGTAATGAAAAGTTCTAGTCCTTAAAGGCTATTATTACAAATTGTTTAGGATAATTAAGAAATGTAGGTTAGTAGTTAGTCATCTACAACAATCAAACGTAGTCATGTTAGGTATATTTTCAAGGTTAAACAGAGATATATTTTAGATAGATAGATGTTCTTCAAATTCTTCAGAGATCTACAGAATATGGCATTTAAAATGTTTTAATAACATAAGGCTTTTTATGACAGTGAGATGTGTCTGCTCCTGGCAGTATCAATGTACTTCAGAGAAGATGATAGAAATTGAAGAACCTCCATATGGAGTTTGCTTTCAATGTGACAAAGCCATTGGGCAAGAAACTGCCTTTGCCTCAACTGCTGACAGTATTCTGTCCAAATTGGATGAGCAAGACACAAAGGAAGTGAACTGCCAAACTTTGCCAAGACAGGGTAGGCCAGTCCTTCAAAATTCCTGCTTCACAGAAAAGTCTGTCAGATATTCTAGGTCTGTAGGCTGAAGATGGATGCCTCAACATCGCAGAGGAACCTTGGGTGACTGTCCAGACAGCCAGCTACCTCTCTGTCATTTCTATGGTTTTGGAAGTTGCTGGCTCTGCAATTCCTTTTTACTCAGGTAATATTTTAACTTTCTTGGGTCTCTCATAGAGGTTGACGATGAGATAGTTAAACCATTTTCTTTGTTACCAAATTCAGAAAAGAAACTTACAAAAGAGATGTAAAGTTGAAAAGGTTAAAATACATAAAAGCTTAAGTTGTTTATCTAAAAAAAATGTCTTAAGGTCTATAAGGATATTTTTTTTTTTTTTTTTTTGGTTTTTCGAGACAGGGTTTCTCTGTGTAGCTTTGCGCCTTTCCTGGAACTCACTTGGTAGCCCAGGCTGGTCTCGAACTCACAGAGATCCGCCTGGCTCTGCCTCCCGAGTGCTGGGATTAAAGGCGTGCGCCACCACCGCCCG